AACCCAGGTGCTGTCATCATTTTGTAGATTTTCGTCCTTGCTCTAAAAAAGTTTGGAAACAGTTTTGGAAGAAGGGTTAACATGTTCACTACATGGTGAGGAATTTATTTGATCTACCTACACCTTAACCTAAGATGTTAAAATTTTATGGCCAAGTTTTATTAAAGTATAATTGATGTAACATTGTACTTATATAAAGTACTCAGGGAATATTTATAGTTTTAATTTTAGCAAAATTAGCTATCTTATGATCTTGCAATTATGAACCTAGATTAAAAAGCAATTTTTTAAATAAGTAATTCATTAAGAGTTTTTTTTTTTTAAGATTTATTTATTTGTGTGTACAGAACTGGGGTACAGGCCAGAGGCTCAGGGGCTGCGAGAGGCTTCACCGGAGACAGAGTTGGGAGCAGAACAGGCAGATCTATGAAGTACACTGCTGAGAGGAGCAGCGGTCGGGCCAGGAGAGGTCTGCCACGCCATGTGGTCACCTCCGGGGCAGGCGGGAATCGAACTCATGTGGAAGTGTCTTAAGCTTCTTAGTGCTGTGTATTAACCCGCTGCACCACCAGGGAGGGCCCTCATTAAGAGTTTTATCTAGCTTTCTCCCCTCTCTAACCTATCCTTCACACAGATACCCACTGTATTTTGTAAAATACAATTTTACAAAATACCTCATAGCTTTGGGCAGCTCTCTTTTTACTTAGAGAACCAACATGAATTACTTAGTATGGTAAAACTTGTGACCCCCAATCTACCGTTGCAGATTCAGTTCATTTAAAATTTATCTATCTAGGCCCTCCCTGGTGGCGCAGCGGGTTAAAGCACAGCACTGAGAAGCTAAAGCCACTGCAGCATGAGTTCGATCCCTGCCTGCCCTGGAGATGACCACATGGCGTGGCAGACCTCTCCTGACCCGCCCGCTGCTCCCCTCAGCAGTGTACTTCGTCGATCTGCCTGTTCTGCTCCCCACTCTGTCTCTGGTGAATCCTCTCGCCGCCCCTGAGCCTCTGGCCTGTACCCCAGTTCTGTATGCACAAATAAATAAATTTTTGAAAAAAAATATATCTATCTAACCATCTCCTCTAAATAAACTAAGATTCAAATCACTCACTGTTCACATCAAGCTCTTACCTGCTGCTTGACTTGCTTGAGTTCTAACCTGATAAGACCAATAATGAAGACAGAAGCAAGGTCAAGGGAGGTTTTGTAAAGAGGATAAGGATTCTGAGGCTCATTCTAATTGTGTCAGAGAGCCACTGAAGAGTCTCAAGCAGGAAGGTAACCTGACCTAATTTATTTTTCACAGAGTCATTTAGTTACAATGAGGAGAATGTACTAAAAGACAAGGTTGGAAGCAAGGAATTAGAAGGACAAGGAGAGGTCAGGAAGAGTTCCTAGGTTCACTTAAACTGGGTAAAGTTATAGGGAATCCTGGGCTTGGAAAAAACTGGTTTTAGTTCAGAAGGTAGAGGTGGAAGGAAGTGGTCTGGAATAAGAGTTCTATTTGGACATGTGAAATTTAAGAAGTCTCTTAGTTGTCCTACCCCTTTCATTTCCCAGTGATCCTTTTAAAATTCACCAAATTGACGTAATTTGTTGCATGCTCGCTTTATTCCCCATCCAGACAATAAACCTCTTCAGGGCTAAGACTGCAATATTTAAACCCTCTGGAGAAGGCTTTAGAAAAACTTCATTAAAATTATTTAAAAAGGAATAAAGGTATCGTCTAGAAACTAAGAAACAGAAACCAAAGAAGAAATTTTTATTTTTCTAGCCATTTCCTTTACTCACCCTGAATAAGGGCAGCAGAAGTTACAAAAGACCGTAATTCCATCTTAGAGTACAGTTCTCTAGCATATAAATTTGCTTTTATATGTCAAATTAACTCCCGACCTTATGCCTCTTAGAACAAGGGCTAATGGGCCCATTTTCATTAGTTTCTTTAATCCTGTACTCAGTCAAGCATTCAAGTAAGACTTGAATATTTGGACAGATTTTCCCACGAGATTTTAATTTTTAAACAACCTATCTTCATTGTACTTCAGATTCTAACATAATATGTAAAGAACACTTAACTTTTTAGAACGCTTTGAATATTAATAGAATTACAGAAGTTTGAAAATCATTGCAGTACTGCTGGTGGGAATGCAAACTAGTACAACCACTATGGAAAACTGTGTGGAGGTCCCTCAAACTGCTTAACATGGAGTTTCCATATGACCCAGCAATCCCACTCCTAGGTATCTACCCAAAAGACACAAAAACACTGATTCAAAAAGACACCTGCACCCCTATGTTTATTGCTGCCTTATAGACAATTGGAAAGACATGAAAACAGCCCAAGTACCAAAAAGTGGATGACTGGATTAAAAGGATGTGGCACTTATACACAATGGAGTCTTACTCCACAACCAAACAAAAAAAATAAACACATGTCTTTTGTAGCAACATGGATGGAGCTGGAGAAGATCACCCTTAGTGAAATAAGCCAGAAAGAAAAAGAAAAATACCGATAGTTTCACTCATAGCAGTATAACAGACCAGGCAAGAAAATAATGATAATAACAATGAAGAGCTATATACCAGAGACATTTTATGGGGGTGGAGTGGGGAATGGGATCAAGAACAGTGGGGGGAGGGAAGTGCACTGCACTATGGTGATGGCACATGGGTGATTTGGTGATGGGAAACCCATGGGGATTACAACTGAGATGGAAAAATGCACAAAATTATGTAAAAATAAACTATTATATTATTTTTAAAAAATCACTGCAGTGATATTGGTTCACAACACTACATATAATTTAGGAGCACAGGATGTATGGTACCATACCAGGAGCAGCACCACAGCTGCTCTGCTACAGTCCCCTGGGAACCCTCCTGCTTTGTGCCCTCTCCTCCCAATCTGGTTGGCCCAAGTCTGCAGTGAGACACAAACTTACCAAACCCAGGCCTTTCATTTACTAGTAGCAGGAAGAAAATTGATGCCTACATAAATCGCTGAAGATTACACAGTCATTCAGAAATGAAGCCAAATATAGAAACTAGTTCAGATATTTCCTAGTGAAGGATTCCCCTCCCCCGCCCACAAAGATTGGCTTCTTAATGGAAAAAATGGATTAATTTGGTCAATGCAATAGCCTATTCATCCTGTTTTCAGAATTGTATAATTCTGTAAGTGACAGCTCGATAAATTTTATAGGAAGGGTATGCCTCAAAATGAAGGAAGTCAAGCATATTAATAACTAAAACAAAATCAAGTGAAATAGAGTTACCATGTATCCTACAGCTTAAAGATAATACTTGCAAAGTTCACCCATGGGGGGAAATACATGATATAAATATCCTCACGTCAAACCCTAAATATGGCTGCAGAAATCTAAAGATTAATGGACCCAATCTTCTGTATAATTATGAGGTTTGCAATGTCTGCCTTTATCATATCCACTTTTCCCTTTAATCCAGTAATTCCACTTTCCATTTCAAAGGTCTTCCAATCTGTCCTCTGTGCTCTTTCCCTTTATAGGATACAGTGATATCTATTATTTACACTTGGTAAGTTAACAAATTTAAGACACTACTTGAATGAATTTTCAATTAATATACTATTAATTTAAGTAGACATTTACATGTTATGCCTTTAATCCTGAAGTGTAGAATGAAAAATTTGTTCTCAGAAGAATTTTAGACCTCTGCAGAAAGAAAAATGGGGAAATACCATCCATTCCCCACTCTCAGTGAATGACAGGGTCTTAAAGCAAACCAAGTATTTAGTTCAAGTCCAGAAAATAAGAGGCTAATGGCATAGAAAATGTTATGCCAAATATCTACTTATGGTACAGATACCAAGAGTCTCTCAGTGTAGCACATCTTGTGTTCTGTTGCACATATGACCATTACTATTGCTCCAATTTAAGGCAGATTACAGAAATTCTAGAAACAGTTTTCAAGGCTTGAGAAAATTGTCATAGTGACTTACAATTAGAACTCCAAGTATTTTCAAAGCTAGCAAACAAATACTCATGTTTATAAGTGTGCTATACTCACATAGTACCTTGTGCTCACAAAGTTTTATTTACACACTTTATTTTTTATATGCACTATGTGACTGAACTTCAATTATATATAAAACATTTAAGTTTTCAAATGAAGATCCTTAAATTTTCAGGTAATCGAGTAATAAAATACACAGTCAAAACTAAACATGAATTCTTGGCTTAACTACTCTTGGCTTAATTATTATGGGTAACATAAAACAATATTATCATATAAGCAACATTAAAATAATTTGCATATGTAAAATCTAAATACTTTCAAAGTAGAAAAGTAATTACTGTCTCCCAAATCTCTAAGTAAATTATATTGATCATTTTTGGGCACAACATTCTTCTACTTCTTAGTCTCTTTGTTTAAGATAATTGTTATTTCAGTTGTCTTATTTATCACTAATAAAAACCCATATTTCTCACCTAGATGCTTTTTCTTTGATAGTCTTTGAAATTCTAATTTGAATTAATTTAAAGCATCAGTCTAAAAATTTGCAATGTACTTCAACACAGCAATTCATGTAGGATTTTGTAACTAACTTCTTTGCATATTTTATTAACTTGCCAACTTTGAAGAAACAGGTTATGACTGGCAAGGTGTATACAACTTTTGCCAAAATATTTTCCTTGAAATGATTTATGAAATGGATTACTCATATTCTATGGCTCCAATATTTGGAAGGAAAATTAAGCAAATTTAACATCACGTTTTGCTATTTTTAAATTTGTCTGCTGCTGAAAATTATTTCAGTAAAATAAGGTTGAGAGTACCTACTGTTAAAGTGACAAATTCACAGTAACTTGATTTTTAAAGAAAAAAAGAAATAGATATAATTCCTCAAGTGTGAATTCTGACAACTATAAGTGGTATGAACTATACTTCTGCAGTAAATTACATTCATTAGAGTATCTGAACATTTAAAAGAACAGTCCAAGTAAGAAAGGGCTCACCAGTCTCAGTGAAACCAAAATGACGTTGGGTCTGATGAGCGGCCAGCACGTTTGACTGTTTTAACTTAGACTGTTGTGAGGAGACTGGTGTTGAAGTAAGCGAGAAATTTTTGTTGACCTGTAATAGGAAAGGCAAATCAGAAACTAAAGTGTAATTTCCTGGGTTACTGATGCAAAAAAAACGATGAGAAATATTTGCTCTCATGCAAACAAGGACACAGGATAAAAGGAATGGAAATGAACCTGTATGTAGGAGGTTTTAAGTTCTAAAAAGCATAACAGTTTTCATTAAGGAAGGAACACAGCTACTGAAAGCATAAATAATGAAAGCTATGTCTGCCTTACTAAAACAAGTTTGCTTATCATGGATTTGACATTAACCTTAAAATAGAGTGGTCTTAAGAGTTATACAAAGGAATGCAAAAAAATTAGTAACTTCTTGATTGTATTCAATGAAGACAGATTTTAAACTCTTCACATGCACATTTCTCTAGGTTTTTGTGAAGTAATTCCTTTTCAGAAACTGCAGAGAACACCTGTAATAGTCATGTTTACATATGTCATGCTGACACAGATAGCACAGCTGTAACCTAACTTGCCAAGTGAAGTAGTTTCCAGTGTATCAAAAAACCTTATTCTTAAGACAATGTCGAAGACCATCATTTAAATAATGAACAAGTAAAATTTCTCCTAGTAAATACAATATTCTCTAATATAAAAACCCATTACAATTCTCTCAGTGAAAAGATACTACAGAAATTAAATGTATAAGTAGTGCAATAGTACAACTACAGCCATTACAGGAAAACAATAGTTCACATTGCAGTTTTGAATAGTACCTTGCAAACTTAGAACTAATTTCAGTAATGCTCTAGTCTGTTGCTCTTATTAATAAATTATTCTGTATGTTTTTATATTTTGTAATTTCAACATCACAATACATGTGATCTAATTTTGTAAAACCTGAAATAGTTTTTATTGATAAAAAATATAATACATGAATTAATAAAATGCTAACTGGTAGTTTTTTATGGCACAGAAGGACTAATATGTGAGTGAGAGCCTCCTCCTCTTTAAAAAATGACTGAAACAAACACAATATTTCCAATATATTAGAATTTTAGAATTCCCTTTTGATGTTCTATAAAAAACAGTAGTAGTTACATGCCCTTTATTTCACTCATCATTTACATAACGCTGTAAATCCTTCTCTTCTTCAAAATATAGTAGTGCATATTATTTTAGATTAAAGCTTGACTTCTTTTAGAAGCTGAGATTTTACATCCTTGGCAAAAAAATCAATACCATAAGATAAAATACTACATTATCAGTTAACCATTATGACATCATCTCATGCAAACAAAAACAGAGATTTTCAAAGTGTTCTGACACCACATTAATGCTTAAAATATTATCCTCAGCTTAAAACATTCGCTCAGAAGCCATTGCTGGACATTCACCAAAATTCATGTTGGCTATTTATACTCATATGACATGTAAAGTAACAAAGAAATCAGCATGTGTGTTCTTCAATGGCAATGTGCCTGGGTGATAAATATGAATTGACAGTCTAGAGTGCTAGATATGCTAACCATAAAGTACTAAGCAACATAGTAAGTAAGAAAATAATTAAATATTGAATGTTGGCAAAAAGAAACCATGAAGTGCTATATAAATGTTTGCTATTATTATTAGCATCCCTAGAAGGAAGGGTAATTAGAGATATATGATATAGTAAATTGTGCAGAGTAGAATGGTTCTAAATGGAAGTACTAGATACAAAGTGATATATTTGTCACTTAACTATTTAATCCACTTCTATTTTTGGAATCATTTTTCAGTTTTACTTCTATGTTCTTGAAAGTGTTGTATTACATGTCAAAGAATGTGTTTTTAAATCGGTACAAAAGAACAAGTATACATGAACACACAAGCACAGATGAACAGATGTACACAAACACACATAAACACACAGCTTCCCCGTCTCCCTATTCAGAAATTTACTTGTACTAAAACAAGAGAACATCAGAAGCACTAGAAAAGGATACTTAAATATATTTGATCAAACAGAAAAATTTGTCATTCTTTTTAAATACATTTGTTTTAAAAAATGGAAATATAACCTACAATTATATCTTCTTTTAGGCATTTTTACAATTCTGCTCTGTCTTGGCACATTTAAGAGAATATCAAATGTTCATGAAGTGATAAGCTTTCCACTTATCAGAAAAGACAGATCATTTTCTAAGGTTTGGGAAAACAGCACAGCAATTTGAAATGAGCTAGCTAGCGTACACATATTCACTATTTCTTTTAAAGGAAGAAAATAATAACCATTAAACAGAGTGAAGCAATATCTATTTCTGAAATATATGCTGTGGAAAAGAATTGCTTAATAATTTTACAACAACAGAAAGGTTGGCTAAGATAGTCTATGCTACACCAATTTACCCTTTTTTCACAACTCATTTTTCTGCTTGCTTCATGCAAAAACCACAGTCTGTCAAAGTCAGTTTAATACATCCACTCTGGGGGGCAGAGGAGGGAGAGGAGGAGCATTAACATTTCATGGAATCTATAATAGATGAAAAGTAAGAAAAATCACCTTGAACTTCTGCCATGTTTATCACAAAACTATTTTGCTTAATCTTTCAGGATACTACAGCTTTGTGTAAAATATGCAAATTATTAATTCTTTAGGAGGTAGTTTTCATACTGAAGGTCACTGTCTGAACCAAAAATTGAACACTCAAAACTAAAAAGTTGACAACTAGTTTCTCTTTTAGTGATTAAATTTCAAAACCACTGTGTGTGTGTATACACATTTATATATACAGATATACATATTTATTTATTTAGAATTAATCTACTTGGTTTATTTTGGATTATGTGCTATATTTGCCTGAAGTAAGATTGTTTTTAAAATTGTAAATTTTGAAGACATTTCAAGTTGGCTTTAAATTAAAATTGAAAAGGTGCTTATACTGTGTAAATACATAGGTTTACAAATGCATCCCCTTCCTTCTAAACAGCTGTTCCTTTTTTCCTACTAACTCTGAACAAAAAAGCAGATAGTACTTTAATTTGAAGACACATCTGATGGCAAAACTCCAGTATCTAGGAAATGCTCTGTTGCAAACCAAATGTCTGTTGTAAAAATTAAAACCCCAGTAAAAAAGAATTAAGTGGAAAACTTGAAGCAAATTAAGATTCAAGGTATCTGAAGTTCAGGTATATTAATATTCTCCTAACATAAATGCTAAAGTACCTTACTTTCCGGTGATTTCTTGTTAGTAAAAGCTAAGAAATGAGGACCCTAAGCTAACTTACAGAGAAATTCAAAAATGATTTCTAGGACTCAAGATATTTCTCTGAAGCCAGAAAAGTGAAATGAGGCATTTGGAAGAAATACTACTATTAAGGGTAAATTTTTACCCTTAATAATGAGGTAAAGTACCAAAAGCCCTACCTCCCCTAGTTCATGCCAATTACAAAATTAAAATCTGAATCAAGTTTATTTAAATAAGCAAAAGTTTATTTTGTATATATTTCAGTGAGAAGCTCAAAATTAAAACCTAGTCCTGGTTCAAACCAGCAAAAGTGAACTTTACCTCAGTCCACCTTGGATTTCTCCAAAATTTTACTTCATTTATTTTTAGTATATTTTCTGACTTCAAAAAGAAAATTTGGTTTTGAATTGACTGAAATCTTCACTTTCCAAATGAAAGACTAATGAAATTCTCACTTTCCAAATGAAAGACCTCTTGCATCTATCCCCCCACCCCTTTTTATCTAGAGTTAAAGGAGCAGGTGTTCTGTTCAAGAGAATCCCACAATCTGCTGCCTTGTGGATTTCCTAAAAGGTCTTCCAAATTCTACTTTCACTTCTCTACTGGCTGTTACTCTACAAGCTATAATGTTAGCTCTTTCTAATGAGTATAAAAACAAAGCAAACATGAAAATTCACACTGACTCCATGATACCATAAGTTTCACTAAAAAGTTAAATCCTTAGAATTAGCACACAAATGCTATCTACCTCAACAGTTCACTTTCACCAGCTACAGAAACATCTTATTAGAACACGCAGTCAGAGGTCCAAGTTCTCTGGACTTCAGATGATGAAACAGAGTAGATTCATTTAGGCCTCTGAGACATCTGACACTGTCGTTCCCTCTCTTCTGTTTCTGGAATGCCATTTTCTGTTTATCCTGCCTCTGCTTATCAGTGTCATTTGCTAGATCTCCTTCCCTCATACTACAGAGTTACCTTGGGCAGTAACATTTCTTTTTATATCTTCCCATATTCTCTATGCCACTGATATTTCTTAAATATGAAACTCTTCTGATCCACAAGACAGCACTAAACTAACCTTTAGTTTGTGGCTAACTAAATTACCTTGGGCAATAACATTTCTTTTTATATCTCCCCATTATTCTTCTATGCCATTGATATTTCTTAAATGTGAAACTCTTCTGATCCACAAGACAGAACTAAAACAACCTTTAGTTTGTGGCTAATAAATCATACACTGTTTCCTCAGAAAACTCCCCAACACCTAGTTGTCCCGCCAAAAAGATGGGAATGGTGCTGGTAGTAACACAAAGCCAGTTACTAAGCCCATGTGGTGGCCCAGCCTGCTCCCTCTCCATATTCAGAGCTCTGCTACAGGTCTTGCCTAGTGCTTGAAAACTGCAGCTGACTCCGATTCATTGCCTTGCATCACCTCTGATTCTTTTATTCTTTTTCCTTAATACTACCAGGATGGTTTTTCTAAAATGCGAATTTTATTGATCAACATAAAACCCATGATCCATTGTCTCCTTGGATAAAGTTTACATTTTTTAGCATAGGCAAACAAGCCTTTTATAAAATTAACAATGTAAAAAGCTCTCCTCCAGCCAACCCTAGTTTTCCAGACTTATGGCTCCATCTCCTATGTTCTGTCTACAACAGCTGCATCTAGTTCCCAGACAAGTGTTTCACACTACTCCCATTTCCTGGAATGGGCTCCCCACCTGACTGTATTTCCTGGTGGATGCCAACTCCTTTTTCAAGCTCTAATTCAAGTATGACAATGTGTGAAAGCCTAACAGGCTTTTCCAATAGGACTTACACT